ACGAATCCTGGTTCCGGGCCATAGTGGGCTTCGCGACCTGGTGTGAGCAGAATTCATCGAGGTACCACTTCTCCCAGGCCTCAATATCTTCCTGCTGAGCGTCGACGTCCTCATGCAAGGCACTATTACGGTTGCTCCAAGCCTTTCCACGTGATAATAATATCAAGACGGAGATTATAATCTGACAAGTTCCGAGCAATTAAAGAGATTCAAGCCAGTTCCAATTAAAGGAGGTGTTCGATAGTGTTGTCGTAGCACTAACCTTGGGTGGATTAAAGGGGAACACGATGGTAGCTCAATGTGCGCGAGTAGGTGACCTTGGTCGGAGTCTCTGCCAAAGGAGGAGCCGCAGAACGACTGAGTGTTGCACCTGCAAGGATAAGAACACGTAAACTAAGGCAGGATTGATCCGGCAGAAACCCTCCGCACTCAAGTCAGGCGTGTGGATTACAAAAGTTGTAGAGATAATACGAGCAGTTTGTCTTGTTTGAATAACGAACGTACCTTAACAAATGAATCATAACATTTATTTATACCGAGTTTGTCGGGTTGAAATTAATTGATTGTAATTGTCGGACCCAAACATTATTTGAAGGTGATTGGGCCTCATTTGTAGTGCCTCTAAGATTGGACTCGTCACCTAGTAAATTAAGAAATTGTAGGCCCATTCAACTGACCCGATTAGGCATATCAATTAACTAATTCCACCAGGACATTTAACAATCATACCTAAATCTTACTACTAAATTGAAATTACTTCTCGAGATCAGATTCTTTTTGGAAAACGAGCCAAAAATAAAAGGTTAGTTATAAAAAGGAAGTTAATGGGTACCTAACCAAGCATCTTTATTATTTTAGGTTTATGGACTATATCTCTTTCACCAATAAGCTCATCCCTTTAATATCTTATATATAAAAGAAAGAAACGCTAGGGCAACCCTAAGAAACCCTAATGTCATATTTGTAATTTTTTTTCAATTTTTATCAAATTTTTATCTCCTTAATATTATTTTCGAATTTTATCATATTTGTATCCGCTAAATATTATTTTTTATTTTTATCAGATTTTTGTCTCCTAAATATTATTTTTTATTTTTATCAAATTTTTATCTCCTAAATATTATTATAAATAATATTTTTTTAATTTTATCAATTTTATATCTCCTAACTATAATTTTAAATATAATTTTCAACTTTTAGCAGATTTTTATCTCCTAAATATAATTTTCGAATTTTATCAAAGTTATATCTCCTAAATGATATTTTAAATATTTTTTTCGAGTTTTATCATGTTTTTATTAGTTTTTTATCTCCTAAATATTAATTTTGTTTTTTTATCAGATTATTGTCTCCTAAACATTATTTTCGATTTTTATCAAATTTAATCTCCTAAATATTATTTTAAATAATAATTTTGATTTTAATCATATTTTATCTCCTAAATATTATTCTAATTATTATTTTCGTATTTTATCAACTTTTATCTCATTAACATTATTTGAAATATTATTTTCGATTTTTATCAAATTTTTATCTTCTAACTATTACTTTAAATTTTATTTTCGATTTTTGTCAGATTTTTATCTTTTAAATATTATTTTTTGATTTTTTTATCAAATTTTTATCTCCTAAATATTATTTTAAATATTATTATCGATTTTCATCAAATTCTCCTAGATATTATTTATAATAATCTGATTTTCGATTTTTACAGAAAATGGTAAATAAATCTGATTTTTATCCCTAGCGAATTTTGTGACATCGTTTTACATAATGTCTGCAACATTTGAATTTTATTTCTTCCCTACCTAAGGCTTCTTCTTTTGGTAACCCGACTTTAGATTTTGTTTTTTATCTTCTTCATCCTATTGACTGTGTGGCAATTAGTTTACATCTTTTTCCATCATGGCTTATCGGTAATTTCATTTTGTTAAATTATGTGTTTCATTAATTTATACCAAAGTTTTCAAAATTTATGTATAACAATTATTTCATTTTATATGTTATTGGACATGTTATTGAAATGGATGATTTGAGAGAATTAACCAAAAATGGGCGGAGCCATAAGCTATTGGAAGTCGACCTTCAAGACTTATTGTTTGTATGCGATATTTAATTTATTGTTTATATTTATTTTTGTTTCTTAATTTTCCAATTGTTAATTCCAGTGGCAAAACAACCTGAAAATGAGGCAGTGGAGAAGGGCTTAGTTCCGATGCAAGATGTATAGATGGCCTTTTATGTTGTCGATAGTTTAGTTTTGATTATGTTAACTAAGTTATTAAATCTAATTACTTTTAAGCTCAACATAAAAGACATAGTTGATGATTTTTTTCCTGGTTCAAATTTTCAATCTACTGGTATTAGCTGATTCAATTCATTTGGAAAATTATTCAATAGTAAAGTTATTTCCTTTTTTTTGTGTGTAGTATACTTAATGATGTTCCAGTATAATAGAATTTTGATCATACGATACATCAAACGTTTGTTTATATTATTACAACATCAAAACAATGCAATTTGTTGTCCCGTGCATCGCACGGGTACAATTACTAGTTTGTTATAAATAAAGAAAACATTCAAGTATATGACAATATTACCCCCAACCCTTTATACTCAATTCTTAATTGTAACCTCAATTTAATTAATTTTGTCCACAAAAATCCAATTTTGACCACAAAAGTTCAATTTTGACTTTTTTTTTCCAAAACATTTTTTTTTGCCGCCGGATTCCGACATTGACTTTTCGATTTTTTTTTTCCTGCGGATTTTTTCGCCGGTCTCCGGCGTTGACTTTTCTTTTTCTTTTTTCTGGTTTTCTTTTTCCGCCACCGGATTCCGGCGTTGACCGTCGGTCTCTGGCGTTGATTCTTTTTAGTGTTTTTTTTGTTTATTTTTTTTTTTACGTCCGCCGCTAAAGGTTGACCGTAATTGTGCTATCAATGGCAGTAAATTAACGTAATTATACTGTCAATGACAATATATTAACGTAATTGTACTGCCATTGACAATACATTTATGTAATTGTTCTGCCGTTGACAGTAAATTAACGTAATATTATTATTATTATTATTATTATTATTATTATTATTATTATTATTATTATTATTATTATTATTATTATTATTATTATTATTATTATTATTTGTTTTTTTTGTTATTTATTTTTAATTTTGTTTGATTTGTTGACAAGTCAACGTAATTATATTACTGTCGTTGACAGTAAAATAACTGTAAACACAATAATATTACTGCCAACCACATCATTATTATTATTATTTTGGGTTTTTGTTTTGTTTGAGCTATTCACGGAGTAACGTAATAATATTACTGTCTATTATTGTAATATTACTGTAAACATAATAAGTCAATAATATTAGTGTGGTTGACGGTAATATTACTGTTGTTACAGTAATATTGTTGTCAACCACATCAATATTATTATTTTGTTTGGGTTATTTTGTTTGTTTGAGTTATTCACGGAGTAACGTGATAATATTACTGTTTATTATTGTAATATTAATGTGGTTGACGTTAATATTACTATTGTCGGTAATATTACTGTTGTTATAGTAATGTTAATGTCACTCACAGTAATATTAATTCTTTTGGCTTTTTATTATGTTTTACATTTGTTGAACGGTCAACATTGTAATATTACTCTATTACACAATAATAATGAATTTTGTTGTATTAATATTACTGTGCTAGAGATTAATATAGCAATATTACTTTGTTAAACTGTAGTTTAGTTAATTTTACTGTGTTTAACAGTAATATAGTTAATATTACTGCCAGTCACAGCAATATTGCTGTTTAAACGAAAAAAAAAAGTTACAGAAGGAAAGAAAAGAAGGAAAAAAAATCGAAAAAGTTTTACGCCGGAATCCGGCGGGAAAAAAAAATTTTGAAAAAAAAAAGTTTTGTGTCAAAATTGAATAATTTGTGAAATTTGGGGTCAAATGAAGTTAAATTAAGTTAATGATGAAATTGGAGCATATTAAAGTATGAGGTGTTATTTTAGTCATTTACAAAAATCTGGACCATGTGTGGACTTATTGATAAATGAGTTTATTGTCTGGATCTCTTTATGAATAAGTACCCATTGATGAACTTATTTGCAATGACCCCTTATGAAAATTGAAACTAAACCGTAAAGAATCTTACCCTAGTGATTAAATTTTAATTTATATATTTGGATTATAAATCTCAATCTATAAAATTTAAAAAAAACTAATATTATATAAAATATGAATAATACTACATTATTAAATTTTACCATGTTAGTGTACTATATTTTCTTATTTTGTATTAAATTTATTATTTTTTTTCACTTTTGAAATAATATCCCGTGCATCGTGCATCGCACACGGGAAAAAATGCTAGTATTTATAAATATAAAAAATCCAAAATAATTGTGCGAGAGTAGGGATCGGATAAAGCTTATCATGAAGTCAACAAACTCACTACCGAAGAATAGGGTGCACCGAAACAAAGAAAAATCCCACATAAATCCTACAATGCAGTGAGTGCCACTTTGACCACGTTTCACCCCATTCACCCACTCATTCACTATTGTAATCGCTACATTCGCTAAAATACACTGGATGATTTTGCACCTGATTCTGCACCGTTGATCTACACATAATAATATAAATTCATGTATATGATGAGCATGTACAATATAATGTCCTTTTAACAAACACGAAGTAACTAAACCCCTCTCCTCTTTAACCACACGCAAGATATAAAATAGCGTTTTTATAAACAAATCATTTGTAACGAACTCGACCTAAAAAAATGCCGACGGAGTAATGTATTTATCTAAATAAAAAAAATCAAATTATCCAATTTCACCAAAGGCATTCATATCAAGATTCATGTAATCTATGTCCTTATTGTAACCCGTGAATGCTACGTTGTAACACAGCAAGCCACTGATACATTATATCATATTATATCATATATATTTATATATATATAGAGTTGTTCCACTTTCGTCCAAACAAAAAGACAAAAACATTTTTCTTATTTATTTCATTCCACCCATTACTCACATTCCTTCTGCTACAGACTCTACACCAAAAATTAAAAAAAAAAAAAAAAAAAAATAGAATCAAGAAACAATGAGGCCAATTTTCTTGATTTTGCTGATAATTTGCAGTGTTTTCCGACCAACCTTGCAGCAAAAACAGCCCATCAAGAACGTCGTCGTTTTGGTGCTGGAGAACAGATCATTCGACCACATGCTCGGCTGGATGAAGAAATCCGTCAACCCATCAATTAACGGCGTCACCGGCAAAGAATGCAACTCCGTCGCATCACCGAAATCCGACACCAAACCCGAAACAACAATCTGCTTCTCCGACGACGCCGAGTACGTGGATCCGGACCCGGGCCACTCGTTCGAGGCAGTCGAGCAGCAAGTATTCGGATCCGCGTTATCCGCATCCGCATCCGAACCCAAATCCATCCCATCAATGTCGGGCTTCGTGGAGCAAGCACTCAGCATGTCGGAAAACCTCTCCGCCACCGTAATGAAAGGGTTCCGGCCCGAAAACGTGCCCATATTCGCTTCCCTGGTAACCGAATTCGCCGTGTTCGACAGATGGTTCTGCTCGATACCGGGCCCCACACAACCCAACCGCCTCTTCGTCTACTCGGCCACTTCCCACGGGTCGACGAGCCACGTCAAGATCCAGCTAGCCAAAGGGTACCCGCAGAAAACCATATTCGACTCCCTCCACGAAAACAACCTCGACTTCGGAATATACTTCCAGAATATTCCAACCACCCTCTTCTACCGAAACCTCCGGAAACTGAAATACGTGTTCAAGTTCCACGACTACGATCTCAAGTTCAAGAGAGACGCTAGGAACGGGAAGCTGCCGAGCCTCAGCGTGATCGAGCCGAGGTATTTCGATGTGGTCGGGTTTCCGGCGAACGACGACCACCCGTCGCACGACGTGGCGAACGGGCAGAAGCTGGTGAAGGAGGTCTACGAGGCGGTTAGGGCGGGCCCGCAGTGGAACGAGACGCTATTGGTTGTTACGTACGATGAGCATGGTGGGTTTTACGACCATGTGCCGACGCCGTACGTTGATGTACCGAGCCCGGATGGGAATACGGGTCCCGAACCGTATTTCTTTAAGTTCGACCGGCTTGGTGTTCGTGTGCCTACTATTATGGTCTCTCCTTGGATCAAAAAAGGAACTGGTATGTGGTAAAAAATATTCATTTCATTTTTTTTATTATTGTTTTTGGATATATGTATTTAGTGGTGGAAATCAGACGGATTCGGATTAATTAGTAGTTTTCTAAAAAATCCTTTTTTATTTTGAAAAGGAAAAGAAAGATTACAATTTTGTTCCTGAAAATTTTAGAAAAATTGAAAATCAAAATTTCGGCAATTGGAAATGAAAAACTTTATTGTAAAATAAGAAATTTTGGATCGGAATATAATCTCCAATTGAAATTTTATTTTTTGTATTCACCTATAGTATCGGAAATCAAATTGCAAACCGGAATCTGATATGTATTCCAATTTTGTCACAAATTATCTGAAATTGGAATTTTCGGAATTCGGAATGAATGTTATTGTTCTAAAATCGGAAATGTTTTAGAAAGTTGAACATTATCTGCCTCTATATTTCGGAAATGCCATTCCAATTTCCACTCCTATATACAATAAAGTTGACTATGATCTGCCTCTTTTATGGCTGTATAAATTCGAAAATGCGGAGTTTTTTTTTTTAATTTAAAATATAATATCACAATCTCTTATATAAATGTCATACTTTTGATCTTGTTTTGATTTCGTATGCAGTAATAACAAAGCCGAAAGGGCCGTTTCCGAATTCCGAGTACGAACACTCGTCAATTCCGGCAACCATAAAGAAAATATTCAACCTCTCATCCAATTTCCTCACTCACCGGGACGCTTGGGCCGGAACATTTGAGCAAGTTTTCGATCAATTAACCTCCCCAAGAACCGATTGCCCAGGTAGTAATAATAATAATAATCATCATTATCCAATTAACTCAATTCATAAAGACAATAACATATATTAAAAAACTTTATAAATAAATAAAACAACTTAATTGTGTTGCAGAGGTTTTACCTGATGTGACTCCTTTAAGGAAGACCGAGATCGATGAGAATAGAGACGTGTCAGAGTTTCAGAATGAGGTGGTTCAATTGGCCGCAGTTTTAAACGGCGATCATTTTTTGACCGGATTTCGTGATGATGATGTGGCGAAGAAGATGAATGTGAAGGAAGCACATGAATATGTAAGAGGTGCCGTTTCGAGATTTGTAAGAGCGAGTAAAGAGGCTATCAAATTGGGTGCAGATGAGTCCGCCATTGTGGATATGCGGTCTTCTTTAACCACTCGATCCTCCTCGATTCATCACTAGACTCTAATCCATCTATACATCTCTTCTTTTTTAATTGTTTTTTTTTTTTTATTCATGTCCATATAGTAGTAATTCTTTGGTAGTCCTATCTTGAAGTGATGGTTTTGTTTACATTGTTACATAAGAAGCTTGAAATGTTGCGAATTTTACGCCAACCATGGAATATCAACTCAATGTCTCACCATGGTGTTGCAAACGATGGAAATTTGATGAAAATTTTGAATTCATCAATTTAGATCGATCCATATAGTTTCGATTTCGGAGTAATGTTAAGCATTCCAACTTTTTATTGTTTTCATCTTTTTTCGGTTAACATTTGGATCGGAATTGGAAGCACATACAAATTCATCGAAAACTATGAATGTTTCCAAAAGTATATTCATAATAGGGGTAAGTTCCACCTATAGTTCCGCGAGGTTAGGTATTATTACAGGTAGACCCCCTCTAGTTCGAACATATACTTCCCCAAGGTTAGGTATTATTTTCGTTAATTTACGGAAATCGAAAATTCCACTCCAATTTTCACCATCATGTAATATAAAAAGATACTAGGGAATTCAAACTTTAAACTGTGAATTAAGTTTTATTTATATGATTGATTGAATGTCCGACCGTTGGTCCTTCACTAAAATAAGTATGAAAACTTGTAATTTATGAGATGTTATATCTGATGAAGTGCACCGGGTGGTTTGCATCATAAATCAACATAAACCACCCAATAATATGTGTTTTTATCGCAAAGATATGATGCAAAACCAAAAAGGATAAATTACAACCACCTCCCTAAGGTAAAGTTTAATTACGACCACGCTCCTTATTTTTGAGAATTTACATCCAGCCTTTAGTGGTGGATGTAATTATGGGGGAAAAAAAAAAGAGGTTTTTTCATAAATAAACCTTACCTTAGGGTGATTTTAATTTGGGGAAATGTGGGATAACCCCCTAGTTTTGAAAATATATATGGATAGGTCCTATGTATTTTTCTTGTCTAGTCAAAAACCCAAATTCTAAACTTAATTTGATAGACCCCCTAGACAAATTAAAATACCCGTTTTACCCTTTTAGTTATAATTTAAAACCCTAACTCCTAATCTTTTTCTCCCACTCCCTTCCCCTTTTTTTGTGCAGTCATTTTCCCTCACCCACTTTCTCTCTCTTCATATCTCTCTCTCTAACTCTCTCTCTCTCTCTTCTCTTTCTTTCTCTCTCTTCATTTCTCTCTCTCTTCTCTTTCTTTCTCACTCTTCATCTCTCTATCTTTGTGGCTGCCCACAACCCCCGTCGTCGCGGCTAGCTCCCCCACCATCTTACGTCGCCGCCGTCGCTGCTCCCCTCACCTCCTTGCGTTGTCGCCGTCGCTGCTCCACCACCGCCTTGCGCCGCTGCTCCGCCGCCGCCTTGCGTCGCTGCTCCGCCACGGCCTTGTGCCGACCGTCGTTGCTCCTCCCATCGCCTTGAACTCGGTACTAAACCTCACTTCACTTTTTAAGTTATTTTTTTGATTTATGAATGTCCATCCATTTTTAATTTATTTTTTAAGATCTGAATTTTTTTCACTATTTCACCTTATTTTATTGTTTTTTTTTTATGAAAATCAACTAAATTCAAAAATTTTAAATTGTGGTCCGACGATGTGTAGTCAGATCTAGAATTTCAGATCTGAAATTGGTGGTGTTCGATTTGTATATATTTACTGCATTTATATAAAAAAAAAACACAGATCTACTATGTTTTTGGAAATCTGTGAACAATTAATATTAAAATATTTTTCTTTGGGTTAATTTGATTTTTTTATTATAAATCATATGTAATTTATTTTTTTTGTTTATTTGAAGATGATTCGAAATGCCTAAAGTGTGAGAGCTTTGTTTGTCTGTAATGAAAATTTAACCAGTAGTGGTTATTTACATGGGTGATTTGAGGCAGGTGAATATATATACAGTTATATATAGTCAGTCACATGTAGTCATGTATAGTCATGACTACATGTAACTATACATGACTATATATAGGACTTGTAGTATAATATAGTCATTTGTAGTCGACTTTAGTTCAGTAAATTTATCAACAAAAACAATCATGTTTTTTTGTATTTTTCATACAATTTGATTTTTTATTATAAATCATATGTAATTTTTTTTTTTTTTGTATTTATTTGAAGATGATTTGAAATGCCTAATGTGTGAGAGATTTGTTTATCTGTAATAGAAATTTAACCAGTAGTGGTTACTTACATGGGTGATCTCAGTCAGATGAATATACAGTTATATTTAGTCATATACAGTCATATATAGTCAGTCACATGTAGTCATGTATAGTCATGACTACATGTAACTATACATGACTGTATAAAGGACTTGTAGTATACTATAGTCATTTGTAGTCGATTTTAGTTCAGTAAATTTATCAACAAAAAAATCATGTTTTTTTTGTATTTCTCATGTAATCTAACTCGCATGTTCCATTTTGCTATTTAACTCGTATATTTTTGTTGCAGGTTTTGTTTTTATTATAGTTTTATGACATGCAGAGAATAAAATTCGATGAAGTGCCTTTGTGAAGTTGGATTCATGCTACAGTACTCCAGACTTATGCCACTTATATAACTATAGATAATTGTATATAACTATAGTCACGTGTAGTAACATATATTTATATGTATGTTATGTGTTTTTTAATGTATGGTAGTGGGTGTTAATGTTTTGAAGATTATATGCACGTGATTGTGTTTTTTCATTTTTTTTTTTTTGGTTAGTTGATTTATAATATCAAGATTAAGTTGTGAATTTTGTTGTTGGTTTAGATTAATTTTGGGGTAAAAAGACAGTATATGATTACATATAACTATACATATGACTGTGGTATACTGTAGTCATATATAGTCAATTCGGTACAGTAAATTTATCAAAAAAAAAATAAAAAAATTAAATATTAAAAATTAAAAAATTAAAAAAAAAAATTAAAAATTACAAAAATTAAAAAATTTAAAAAAAGTTTAAAAATTAAAAAAAACAAAAAAAAGTAAAAATTAAAAAAATTAAAAAATTAAAACAATACAAAATACCATATATATATATAAAAAATAATAATAAAATAAGAATTTATATTTTTTATTAAAATAATCTATAAAAATGATAAATGCAGGCCCAAAATGCTAAATGCAGTTCAGCATTATGCTGAATGTGGGGGCGGAAGTATTGAATGCAGTTGGGTGAAAATTGCACTTAAGGGCACAATAGTACTTTTGCATCTCCAGGGGGCTATCTCAAAGGAAGAATTTTAGTGGTGGACCTATCCCTATATATTTTTCATTCTAGGGGTGTATATCAAATGGACCCTTTTAATTTACCCAAAAGAAATTGAAACCCAAAAGGCCCGGCCCGGCCCATCACAATGCTTCAACTATCACGACTCTTTATTCAAGCCGAAAAAACGCTTCTCAAATAACTGAAAGAAACTACCAAGACTCTTTTTTTTTTTTTTTTTTTTCTCTACTCTCTCTCAATCTCATCTTCCAAACATGATACTGGGTGGTAACCTTCTCCATCATATTTCACCTGCACTCCCCATTCCCAAACCCTACTCCACTAAATCAACCTCTAAATCCGCCATCACTTGTAAGAACTATGATTCTCCGAAGAAAAATTCTTACAGTTTTGGCGCGAATTCAGGAAGACCCATTGCCATTTGGTCCAACAATAACCTAATCTCTCTCGCAATTGCTGTGGCCCTTATTTCACCGCTGCCTTGTTCGGCAATCCCTTCTCTCAGCTCCAAACCCTTTTCGCTTCCTTCGACAACTACTCCATTTTCGCAGGCGAAGAATTTGCCTACTGGATTGGAGAATGGGTTATTTCTATGCTCACTTTTTTTTTTCTTTTATTCTTTCTTGTGGGTTTATTGGAAAGAGTTTATTCCAACTAGTACCCTTGTGTTATATCGAATTGTTAAAAAGTATTCCATTTTATTTTAATGGTAAAAAAAAAACCCTATGATTTAGTTTCTTTTAGCAATTAGTACCCCTGGTTAGGGGTTGTGTGCTAAAAAAAATGAACCATAGGGAATATTTTGCTAATAAACTAACATAGGGGTTGTGGGCAAAGGGGTGTTTCGGGAAAATGTTAGGAAGAATCGAATTTGTTTGATTGTTTATCCTTGGAGATTAAATTTAGATTTGAGTGATGTCTTGTTATGTAATCACCTTATATAATGCCCCAATAGGAGTGACGACGTATAGCGAGGTTTATCAAAATCGATTGAACTCGAAAATGAATAAATTTGCCGATTTTGAAACTCCCATTTTGAATATGCCGAGAGCGATTGATTTAGATAGCTTGTGAAAATTATGTTGTTTGATTGCAGAAAAATCAGACCTTGCCCTTCAATAAACCCCAGCTGTGTTTCGAGCAATCCCAAGTCGTCGAATTTTGCATTTCCATGGAGTATACTAGGAGGTTCTTCTTCAAATACCGCTGCCATTAAGGTTCGTCATGCTCGTTCTTTTAATTAGTGCCTCCTGTTCTTCTGTTGAATTTTACGGGCCGACTAATTAAACATTTGAATCGTTTCGTTCAATGCTACAAGCAATTGCAAGATGCACTTGAAAAAACACAGAAAGACGTCAAGATTCAGCTCGTCGAAGATACACCAAACGGTAAAAATGCATGGCGTTTATATTATATTATTTTCACATCATAGTTAAACGTTACCCTGTGAAAAAAGTTTTTTTTCTTCGTATTATGTATATATAAAACGGGATAAAATAAATGCAGGGCAATATCTGGAAGCTGAGGTGGATGGAGGAGGATTTGGTAGAAGGGATGTTCTAGAATTCTTGGTGAAGGGAGATGTGGTTACGTTTAGAGCAATGGCGACGAAAGTTACGTATGTGTACCCTTTCACAACGGCATTAGGTGACTCGAAAGGTCAGGAAGAAAGAATGAAGCTCATCGTTAACGAGTTAGGCTGGTTTGCTCCGAGTTTTGATTCCATGGACTAATTATTTATAAGCTCATCTGTATACTATTGGTATATATCTTAATTATTCTTCGGCTTTTATGTTTTGTAAATTTAATATACATTTCTCAATTTGATTTACATTGGACACAACTCACATATGATAAGTACTTCATCTTTTATTTACAAACAATTTATCAGCTACCATAGCCTAATTTACCACCGAAACAAAAAACATATATAGCTAGGATAAAGACTAATTTACAAACTACAAGAATTAGCATAACTAATAAAGCAACTTAGATAACAAATTGGAATCATATTTGGACCAATCATTAACATCAATGGCAGCGACATTGGCGTCAATGAAGGCGGCAACAACGAGGGACACGTTGGCGGCAAGCAACTCAAATAACAAATCGAAGTCCTCTTCGAACGAATCATTTTATTCCGGTGGATGATCTTGTTCAGAGGTAGCAGCAACCATGGCGGCAACGGAGGCGACATTGGCGGTAAATGAGGGAGAATTACACTTTTGGTCCCTCATGTTTGACCCAATTCCACTTTTGGTCCCCGCTGTTCCAAGGTGAACAAAGTTCACCCCCAATGTTCAATTTTAAACACTTTTGGTCCCTGCCGTTACATGCCCGTTAGCAAGTAACGGAAAACACTATTTTGAGGCCAAAATTCAAATTTATAATTTTTTTGGGATGAAAAATATTAGAAATTTAAAATATACTACTTATAATTAAATTTTTAATAATAAAAAAAGAAATTAAATAAACAGATTATTTTTAAGTACTTAATATTATTTTTAATTATACTACTTAAAATTTAATATTTTTATAATGAAAAAATAAATATACTAAAAAAAATATTTTTTTATTATATGTAATATTATTATAATTGTACTACTTATAATTTTTTTAGTAATAAAAAATTAAATCAACTAAACAAATATTTTTAATTATACCTAATATTATTTTTAATTATACTACTTATAGTAAAAAAAATTAATAATAAAAAAAATTAATAATAAAAAAGAAATTAACTAAACAAATTATGTTTAATTATACTTCAAATTATTTTAATTATACTACTTATAGTTAAATTTTTAATAGTAAAAAAAAGTTACTAAACAAATTATTTTTAACTACATTTTATTTTGTTTTTAATTATACTACTTATAAATAAATTTTTAATAATTAAAAAATAAATTAACTGAACTAATTTAATTTATACTCAATATTATTAAAAATTTAATTATAAGTAGTATATTTTAAATTTCTAATTTTTTACCAATCCCAAAAAAGTTTTAAATTTCAATTTGGCCCCAAACTAGTGTTTACCGTTACTTTCTGACGGGCATGTAATGGTAGGGCACCGAAAGTGTTTAAAATTAAACCTTGGAAGTGAACTTTGTTCACTTTGGAACACCAGAGACCAAAAGTGGAATCATGCCAAACATAAGGGACCAAAAATATAATTCTCCCCGATAAATGATGTAAAATTTGAGGCAACGGGGCTAAATTGTTTGCAAAAGGGGTGAAAATTGGTTGCAAACAGGACGAAATTCGCAGCAGGGGTTCGGTTGTATCAGAGCCAATAGGGGCGACTACTGTCAAGATGCATGTTGTATGGATGAGAGAGCACTCCATAATTTGTATAGTGAATGTTGCATGAGTCACACGTGAATTTGTCCTTCTTCAGACACTATGAATTATTTCTTCAACACCTAATTTTCTCGAGTCTTTACGCTTTTATTATCTTTATTATCTAAATGTCTACATTTTTCCTTCATTGGCATATAAATGAAATCATATATGTATTTATACTAGATGCTTTTATTATCTAAGTGTCTACATTTTTGCTTAACTGGCATATAAATGAAATCCTATTTGTATTTATACTAGATGCTCTCCTATAGATGATGATGATTGATTTAATCATACATTTTTAGTGGCTTTTTAGAGCACTATATAAAATTTGTAGGTACAATTTAGAAGCTAACTACAATGGCTAGGTTTTTGTGGAATTCTTAAAATTTATCACACACCCATCCATTTATTTAAATATTATTTTCTAGTATAATATAAAATAAAAGTATGATAACTACAAATAAGCCCATCAATAGGTACTTATTCATATAAGGGTTCAGATAAAAAAGTACAAAAGAAATCATACATTGTTCAGAAGTTTGTAAAAGACTAAAATAGCCTCTCACATTTTAATATGCTCCAATTTCATTCTTTAATTTAATCTAACCTCAATTTGACCCCAAATTTCACAAATTATTCAATTTTGTCCTAAAACACAATTTTATGGACATTTCGTTCGTCGTCGTCGTGATTTTTTTCTTTCTTCCTGATTTTACCGCCACCGGTGTTGATTTTTTTGATTTCTTTTTTCATTTTTTTCTTTAACATCTTTTTGACCCCATTTAAACAGCAATATTGCTGTAGTTAACACTAATATTAACTATATTACTGTTAAGCACATTAATATTAACTATACTACAATTTAACACAATAATAGAGTAATATTAATATGTTGACCGTTCAATAAAGACAAACATAATAAAAAACCAAAAGAAGTAATATTGATGTAGTTAACAATAATATTACTATCATCCACAGTAATATTACTGTCATCCACAATAATATTACTGTAACAACAATAATATTACCGTCAACCACAGTAATATTATTTTGTTTACAGTAATATTACAATAGTAGACTGTCTACATTATTATGTTAACCGGTCAACAAATCAAACAAAATAAAAAAGCTAAAAAAAAATAATATGATGTGGTTGACAGTAATATTATTGTGTTTACAATAATTTTACCATAAACGACAGTAGTATAATTACGATGACTTATCAACAAATCAAACAAAAATATAAAGCGAAAAAACTAATAATATTGTTGTGGTTGACAGTAATAGTACTGTCAACAATGTACTCTCATCGACACTATAATTACTGTGAATAACAGTACAATTACGGTTAACGTTCTATAAAAAATTTAGGGCAAAATAAATAAACACTAAAAGAAAAATCAACACCGGAAACCGGCAGCCGAAAAAACAGGAAAAAAAATAGTCAACGCCGGAAACCGGCGGCAAGAAAATATTTCAAGAATTAAAAAAAAAAATCAAAATTAGATATTTTTTGGGAGGTCAAAATTGATTAAATTGAAGTTAAATTGGGGTTACAATTAGGAATCGAGTTTAAAAGGTTGGGGGTAATTTTGTCATATACATTAACTTTTCCTTTATTTATAATACATCTTGAAGGGGTGAGGTGGTTGGGAGACTTATGCACAAAAACACATATATTATATCTCAAAATCATGGAACCTTCAAATTAAATCCTAAATTGAGTTGCCTAATATGTTAGGGCATCTTCCACCCATCTCCATATCCCATTTTTTTCACCTAATTTAGGTGTTTTTAACCTCCCAACTTAAATCACTAAATCGGCATTACATCTAAAATTATGATGATTTGGTTTTAGTCACCCATTGTGGTCAAACCACATATCACCATATTACCAAGTCCTATATTTTCCCCAAATATTTTGGTGAAGAAATTTGCAACTCCTACCCTACCACCATTTTACCATTTTTTCACCAAATCCTATTTTTCTATCAAATATAAAAATTAAAATACGATATGGTGTGATTAACACCATTTTATAATTAGCATATAAAATTATTATATTAACTAATTTCATGTGATTACCAATTTATAAATATATTTATAGAAAATATATTAGTGTTAATTAATGAATTAGTGTTCAGAGATAGATACATTTATTATTATTATTATTATTATTATTATTATTATTATTATTATTATTATTATTATTATTATTATTATTATTATTATTATTATTATTATTATTATTATTATTATTATTATTATTATTATTATTATTATTATTATTATTATTATTATTACTAAATAAATATAAATATGTTAGGCCAAACAAGGTTGTAATGAGGCCCCTTTGACCTTCAAAATTATCAATGCAATAATTTGTTTTCGTCAAAAAAATGTTGTAATGTTTTTTTTTTAAATCGCGTTGTAATATATTTATGCATTTAGTTATGAAATTATTGTTTATGTGTGGTTTTATTATTTGCATAATAATTTACGTTGATTTTCATTCATGTTTCAATAATTTTTGAAAATTTAATATAATTTTAAGATTATATAATCAATAAAATTATTACTTATAATCGGATCTATAATCGATATTTTTAAAATTAAAATAGACTAAAATTATGATTAATATTAAATTGACAATTTTGTGCTATATTTTGTGAAATATCATAGGAGACCAAACCAAATGCTATTATCTATAAACAGAAAAATGGTGAAATATTATTATTTTGGGAATGGCTTAATTTCACTTTGCACCCTCGAAATATAACATTTTGGCACTTTGCACCCTCGAAAAATAATAATAGCACTTTGCACCCTCAAAACACAATAAATCATTCACAATGCACCCCCAATTGAATAATAAAGGTAATTTCATTTTTCATTGGTGTTTTTTTTTTTCGGGGTACAAAATAAAAACAAAATGTTTTTTTCTTCAACCTCAAACCTAATTTCGAGCGGACAAAGTGCGAAAAATAAAAATTACACGTGATTATTTAAAAAAAATTCATTTTCTTACAAAAGAAAAATAAAAAAAAAATAAACTTTTATCACTAAATTATTCGATTGATGGATCTTTTATGTAACTGTTTGAAAATATTAAGTGAAAATATTTGGAAGAAAATATGATTTTTAGATAACTTGATAACGGAGTAGCTGAATGATTTTTTTCGTAAAATATTTTATGTTGATAAAAAAAATATATTTTTTAAATATGTTGATGAAATGTATTTTTATTTTTGAACTTCATAGTTTCAAAATGATTGATGAAGAGAAAAATATTTGACATTTGGTGTCCTAAAAAATATCACTAGAAATATTATATTTATATTTTTTAGCTTTAAAAATTCATTTGGTGTGCATTATGCATGATTTATTGTATTTCAAGGGTGCAAAGTGCTATTAATTTATTTCGAGGGTGCAAAGTGCCAAAATGGTATATTTCAAGGGTGCAAAGTGGAATTAAGCCAGAGGAATTATGTCTACACACACGGTAAAAATAAACAATCACGAAATCAACCTCATATGTGTCAATTTCAATATTGAACAAGATATAAACTGCATTAATAGTTAAAATAACATAGAATATAGTTCACACTTCACATATTACAGTAAAATCGTGACAACTAGAAGCAATCAAAACACACAAAAATAGAATCACTAAAAGGATCTCTAATTCTGTTTCAACTTCAAACTCCAGTTTTCACTCGATTTTAGTTTTTCTCGAACTTTCTATCCTCTTTCGGCTATATCACCTGTCAAGCAAAAAAATTATTTTGTCACAACAAGTCTTCATAGAGAGAGTGTTGACTTATGTGGTGTAATTCATAAACCTGAGAAGTGGTGTGGAGAGATGAACATCAATTCTTACTACACGTTTCTTCTTCTGCAAATCAACAAAATAAATTTTTAATTAGAAATTAATAGCAAATCAATCAAATAAATTTTAGGGCAAATTACCAAAACCCCCTGAGGTAAGCCTAAATAACGAAAATACCCCCACATTCTCGTAATTACGAAAACCCCCTGAGGTATGCAGACATCTTACAAATCGCTCTAACGGTGTTAAACTCGATAGAATCTTTTTGATTCTCCCGAATATTCCTCCGATAATACCAATTTTGCCCTTGTACACGAAATTACCCTTAGGGGGGTAATTGTAAGCATTTTACCCGGTGCGATGTTGATCGGATTAGGGCTCGAATCTCTTCCGCCGGAATCTAATCTCAAATCGTTAAACCCTCGTAATTCCTCCGATTCCAGATCGAATTTAATACCCTCGACCTCCGATTTCTTTCTCGATGATCTGTACCTCGATGATCTGAGGAAAATTGCACTTCACCTCCAATTTTTGACCTAATTGTAAAACAAATCCCTTAATTTGAGTCTTAACCAACTAAATCCGACCTAATAGATGCCAAATTATATGGAGAAAAAAAAGTGCTGATTTCGCATAAAAACTTGAGACAATCACCACGAGCCAATTGAGATAAGTATAGCCCAGAGTATATAGAAAAAAATATATAAGCAGCGAACTCGTGGGCTGTAACAACCCAACCCAAAATAAAAATTCAATCTTGAAATTAAAAAACAAAAAACCCGAAAAATTATAATTTTCTTGGAATTAGAGCAGGGTACCTTAGCGGCGTGTTTCCGCGGCGGTAGCGTGTCGGAGTAGTTCATCAAAGCTTGTCGGATCAATTACCCCATGGAGAACTCGTTCTCTTCTTCGTCAGTCTCCTGCAAACTGGTCGGCAGAGACGGCGCCCGGTTCAAGGCGTTCGCCGGTGCACGCCTCCTGTTCGACGATTTGCCTATGAGAGAATCACATTTTCAGCTTTTTTCTTTTATTTTCACATATTTAACATAAGGATATAATAGATATTTCACGTTTTCGGTTAAAAAAATTCGGTCAACCGTTAGTCAAGGGGGGTTTTCGTAATTACGAGAACGTGGGGGGGATTTTCGTTATTTAGGCTTACCTCAGGGGGGTTTTGGTAATTTGCCCTAAATTTTAATTAGAAATTAGTAAATTTAAAATATATTACTCCTCCATCATCAATTTGAGGGTGAGGAGAGGATGGTCTGCCTCTACGCCACCAGAAATCGAATCAATTGATGGAAATTTGGGGAAGAGGGATGGAATCATTAATTCTTGTGCGTGTGATGTGCGGAACAGGGATGTAAATTATACAGTAGAACCTCGAATAAATTAATAACCTCGCTTAAATAATAATTTCTCCCAGTCCCGAGTTGGTAAAAATGTATTAAATTATTAACTCGATAACTTAATATTGCGCTAAATTAATAAAATTTTGCTAGTCCCGACTGTATTAATTTATAGAGGTTTAACTGTATTTTTTTATGAGAAAGTTTGACTATTAACTATTCTTTTAATTTATATTTTTAGTTGATTATGAAGGGTAGTAAAGTAATTCAAATAAAGTATGATGTGTGTACGATCTATTTTTACTATATCATACTTTAATTTATTAATTTTCAGGGTTGTACTAGGTCATACTCAAATCGTACTCAAGATCAACGGCTATAATTATTTAGATAATATTTTCAACGCACCAGATTCAATCGTTTATGGTCCGAGAAGTACAGCCCTCTCGGACCCTAGACAACCCCATGTAAAATACCATTGAAAATTGAATACATTTATAAATAGGGGAGATACTCAAACTATTGAAAAACTGTTTGGCCTTTGGAATAAGTGATCATAACAAGTTACAGTTACATAAACATTACAATGAAAATAATATATGAGAAAATTAAAATTGTAACCATGCAAAATACATTAATGTGATAATAGACAACCTTGAGAATAAATGGAAAAAAAAAATAAAATGGCTTTTGTATCAAATGTCTCTATTTCTTCAGCACTTGCCCTTTTCTCTTTATTCGGTGTGTGTGATGCGACGGTCAACCAAAACTAAAGAACCAAAGCGTACGCTAAAATTAAACTTGCTCCTGACAGAGAGAAAAACATTACAAAAATTGTGAGTAAAATCTCTGAGTAATAAGATCGATATTGTGCATGAAGAATAAGGTTGTAGCAGTCGTTTTAATTCAAAGCAGAAGTTCGCCACTAAATGTTACTAATCAGTAAAATTAGTACCTACCCACGCGGGCGATTGAATTTTGTAGGAAGATACTTAAAAAGAAAAAAAATATGATTTTACCCCTAAAAGAAAATGCTATTGATAAATGAGTATTGCGTTTTCCGCAAAGGGATATACCGTATATCCCTAGCCACCGATATGAATCATTGGTCTGTTTGGAGTCTTTGCAATGTCGAACATCCCAGCATGAGACGCCTTCTTTCTTTTGACCTGGTTTTATTGGCAATAAATGTTTACAGCTGTAAAATTCCTACGTAGAGCTACATAAATATCCAAAGTGGTAATTCTCGGAATTGTTAAATATAACTCATCCGCCAGTAACATCGAAAAAGGCTGTAAAAAACTGGCGTTTGAAACTGTATTATCAAGAAAATAAGAGCTACGTTGTACATACCGCTGCTCCAATAATCTCCCTAAGCTCGTTATCATCAGCACCACTGCGCAGCGGGTCCCTCAAGCTAACCTGAAATGAACCGCGTATCCTCGTGAGAATGAGATAAAAATGTTTTTATAGTTTATACTTATCATAGAAGTGGAAAAATGCACAAGTTCAATCAGATACTTAAAACAATTTGAAAATGATAATTACACATATTGTGCCATTAACCAAAAAAAAACTATTTAACTTAATATTCCATTGAGTCCGGTTGTATGTCGATTTAAGTGAAATAATATTAATATATATTTTACTCATTTTGTGCAAAAATGCAGTTTCTGATGCATCACCGCAATCTAATGGGGGTAAAATGGGTACAAACTGGAAAATATTCCACATAATCTAGAAGATTCCACTAAATTTGACACAGCAAGGGTGGACATGTAAGAAGATTCATAGTTGAGGGATGGTTGTAATTATCCAAACACGAGGGGTTTTTTCGTAATTTGACCTTACTTTGGGGTGTGGCCGTAACTAACCCTAAAAACAATGATCAGGCAAACATGACCTTGCATAAATGACTAGCCTAAAAATGGACAAATACTTCTAAATGATTTGGAAGGTTTAAAATAGTTTTGGAAAAAAGGTAAAAAAAAAAAAAAAATTGGAAATGAAAATGAAAATCAATAGAACTGATAAATTAGGGTTGGAAAAAAAATGCCAATTACCATATACCATGGTATACCTACCAAAAAATACCGAAAATTTACCGAAATAACGGTTACCATTGTTTACGCTACAGTACTAGTACCGTACCATTACAATATGGTACGGTAGTGGTATTGTATTTCTAATACCACGGTAATACCGTACCGTACGGCAATTACATTTTAGGGTAAATTACAAACACCCCCTGAGGTATGGTCAAATTACAAAAACACCCCTCTTGTTTGGATAATTACAACCACCCCCCTCAACTCCTCAAATTTAGTGGATTTTCGAGATTATATGTAATATTATCACTTTTGTACCCGTTTTATCCCATTCAAACTCTACATTATGAAGCAAGATGGTCATAATATGTGATTTTTAGCTTGTATATATCAGTTTGTGGTGCATCGGAAACTGTATTTTTTACGCAAAACGAATACAAACTAGAGCACATTTCACGGAATCTAGATGACTATGTTGAATTTGGCACCATTATGGTGGAGGTCTAAGAAAAAATCATAGTTGAGGGGGGTAGATGTAATTATCCAAACAAGAGGGGGGTTTTTGTAATTTGATCATACCTCAGGGGGTGTTTGTAATTTACCCTACATTTTATAATTCGATTAAGATATTTACTTCAATATTATTTTTTGTAATTATAGTTTTTACTTAGAAGCTTATGAACTACAACAATTATTTTTACCTTAAGTTAGTGGTAGTGTATTTGCTTTTTTTTTCTCGACCAAGTTGAATCTTATAATTTGACATATATATTATGTTAAATTGTCTTTATTGCCAACTAATTTTATTATATTTGATGTATGAATATCAATTTTTTTACATACATATACATGTATGTATAGTATTAGTAAAATATTTATTGTATGTATTAATTATTAAGTACAATCAAGTACCTAAGATTTACCTAGTTGTTTCATTAAACCACATTTATTTTGGTTATATTCTTGTTTCATTGAAGCAAATTATGTTAATTATTCATGATTATACACTCGGGCCTTCTTAGAAAATTAGATATTAGAGTAACTAGAACTATTTTAATTTGAGATTTACATACTTAGCTTGTTAACTCATTTGTTCTTTAACCTTTGACACATCACCATATACGGTAGAGTACCACGAACCGATTGTACCGTACCGAAAATAACGGTATATCAAACATTGGTATACCGAACTTTTTGGTACGGTAACGGTATGAAATTTTTCAATACCATAATGTACGGTAGGTACACGGCATTGAGCCAAATGTTTGGCAACCGTACCGAACCCACCCCTATGATAAATTGTTAAACAAGCTTCTTTATCAGAATTTATCTCTCTCTCAGCCTGTATTTTCTCTAAGAATTAGTGTTTCACCTATGAGTGGGCCTCGTAAGAAATACATTGCCAGTGAGTGATAGCAAAGAGGAAGCTTTACCTCTGAAGGACCGAAAAGGCAAACCTTAAAGTTCCCGTCAGCAAGAAGTCTCAATCTATTACAACCTGCACAAAAATGCTCTGTCATCGATGTAATGAAAGAAACTGTACCGCGATGCCCATCGATCCTAAAATTTTTAGCTGTCTCTGTGGGATCATCCTTAATCCTTTCAAGTCCTGTAAATTGTTTAACCTGTGTAAATTGTTTAACCTGCTCAGTAAGATAGTAAAATTGACACACTCAGAGAAATGTATAATAACACATATAGATACATTTTATATATATATATATATTATTAAGAAGCCAAATACAGAATTCTACTTTACCACAATATCCATCATTTCAGAGTAAGGTACGAGTTTCTTTACTTTCCAGACATTTCCATCAAAAGGCATGAACTCAATAAACCGTATATTGATCGGCTTCTCACGTGTCAACTCAACAAAATCGTATATTTCATCATCATTGAATCCGCGCATTACAACACAATTTACCTGATACAAATTAAATCCAAGAACATATACTTGATTTTCTCTCTCGTAAAAAAATCTCGACAGTGAAGGAGAAGTAATCAATACTACTCTTATTGAATGTAATAACATAAGTCGTAGGTAAAAAACATACTTTGACGGGATTATAACCCAGCTCTATAGCAGCATCAATGGCTTTCATCACTCTGTCGTGCCCTTTTCGCCTGCTCATAAACTCAAACTTTGCAGGAACCAACGTGTCTAAACTTATATTCAACAAACTAAGTCCGCATTCTTTTAGCCTCGGAAGTTTATTCGCAAGGGTGATTCCGTTAGTAGTCATCGCAAGTGTCTTTAAGCCACTCAAACTCGACAGCTGTAAGCAAATTTCTTCGATATCTTTCCTTATAGTTGGCTCACCACCAGTTAGACGGATTTTACTAACCCCAGAACTGACAAATAGATTTGCCAGTCGAACAATCTCGTTCGGTGACAGAAGTTGAGGAGTGGGAGTAAGCTCTACACCTTCAGCGGGCATACAGTACTGACATCGCAAATTACAGCGTTCAGACAGTGAAATCCTCAAATAAGTATGTTGCCTACCGAATGAATCGAATAGCATATCAGAAACAGGATTGTCTTTATGGGTGTCCGCTGGAGATTTTTCACATGAAGTAGCGTACATATTCGACATTGTTCTATCCATATGACTGCTACTTAAGTTCGATCCGTTACTGCTTTCGTGTAGAATGAGAGATGTGACTTTGCAATTAGCCTGAAAATTAAATTTGATTTTGTCATTATCGAACTACGACTTAAACTAATTTTGCAGGATTCGATTTTCAATTATAATCTATTAACTAATATCACTCTCTGCTTCACAAATATTTGTACCTCATTTTCAACTCTAATCGAGAACAAACAGTTTCGACTCGAAAAAACAACGAATCGAGCTCAAAGCATATGCTTTTCTGAAGCATGAAAAACATAAATAATCATCAATATTCAAAATTGATAAATCGAAATTACAGATTGAGTTGAACAAATTCCATAAAAAAAAATCGAAAAAAAACGTACCGAACTAAAATTCCTTAGACGCGAATGCCATTTGGCAATACTGGATATGCAGGGGTGCATGGTACCCAATTTTTTCTCCGTGAATTGGTTTTCCAAAATAGAATTGGATGCTGAATTTGTATCTGCAAAAATAGTGAATTGGAATAAACGATGTTGAAAGAAACAAAAAGGGGTTCGATTGATTTCCGAACAAGGATTTGACGGCCGGTGATAGAATTTTGTACTGTAATACCACTGGAGAAAGAAAAGGGACCACCGGTCAACCGCCACGGATAAGGAGAGTTATGCCTCCTACATTGAGCCAAAGGTCAACACTATAGTCACTAATTGATTAAAAAAAATACTAGAATCGCTAATTGATTAAATAAAAAAAAAAAAAACCATTTTATAATTGAAGAATTAAATTGGGATTGGGATATCCAATTTATCCCAATTTCAATCAGAAAATTCCAATTCTTTATACCTAAAAAAATTATTACTCAATAATATTTTGGAATATATATTTTTTATATTAATTTCCCAAAATTTTATCACAATGGAATTTGTATAAGTATTTTAGTTTCGTAAAATTTTTTTGGATGTTTTCTGAAAGTGTTAATTATCAATCTCTATTTATTATATAATTCATAGTAAATCCCCTATTCGTTTCAATTAGATTTGTCAATTTAAATTTTCAATAAAATATTAAGAAAAAAGATTGAAGGAAGAAAAACCTCAGACTCCGGCAATGGCGCGCTCATCTTGCTTTATCTCTTGTATCAGATCCACCGTTGTTGAGTCCGGCGCCCCAGCCAGATACACCTTAAAACCTAGACCAAGATTCACGGGACTGTAGATGTAAAAGTAGAGAGAGAAAACTCGCGAAGAGTGCGAGCGGAGGAAGATGGTGGAACCGAGGGGAGAGAGAGAATCAAACGCAATTATCTATCTGCTTTTTTATTCATTTTGCCGACGTGTTATATTATTTATTTATTTATTTATTATCATTAGTAGTTTTAATTTCCTCCTCCTATTGTTTATTTATATTTATAAATTGAGTTTTAGAGTTTATTAAAATTAACAATTTACATATGTGAAAGAGTATGTCAATTGAGATTAAAAAAAAATTAAGAAACCTATTATGAAGGTGTTGTTTGCAAAAGCTTTTTAAAAGTGATTATGAGTTTTTTTTCCTCATAATCTTGTTTTATTGTGTTTGTAAAATTAATTTCTGCTTTTGCTTCTCTTAAAACTAGTAATTCACCCGTGCGATGCACGAGATCAATTTTTTCAAAAAAAATATTTTGGATAAAATAAAACGAACGAAAACTTTGAACAGTTGACATACATGTAAATAATACAAAATATTCATTTGTTTGTGATTTACCTTCATATTCGCTGAAAATCTTTTGTCACACAACATTGCTCGTAATTTTAGTTATATCGCCCGATTCTGAGTTGATAATTATTTTTTATCTCAAATCTACTTTTATCTTTGGACATTGCGGCGTACAATTGCCTATCCACCCTAATATTAACACTAATATTCCACTAACAACTACTACTACTAATACTAAAACCAACATTGATAATACTAATACCAATACTAATATTAATACTAAAATCAACACTAATAATACTAATATTAATACTAATTTTAATATTAATACGATGATTAATACTAATAGTCTAATACTAATATTAATATCAACACTAATATTAATAATAATACGCCACTTCTAATATGAATATTTAATGTTTAAACTAATAAGCCAATACTAATAAGAAAACTAATACTAATACTAATGCTAATGCTAATGTTAATGCTAATAGGCCAAGACTAATATGAATTTGAATACTAATATACTAATATTGATAATAATATTGATATTGGTATTGATACTGATACTGATATTAATTTGATACGAATATTAATACACATACTGATACGTACATATTGATACTGATACCGATACCGATACCGATACAAATACTAATATTATTATTAATACTTATACCAATACTAATACCGATACTAATATTCATACCAATATTCATACCAATAATCATACCAATACTCATACCAATACTAATATAGATATAGATATTGATACATATATTGATACTGATATGGATACTCATACTCATACTCATACTGATGTTGTTATTGATAAATACTAATACTGATAGTGATACTGATACTAATATTGATACTAATACAGATACTGATATTGATACTGATACTCATACTAATACTAATACTAATACTAATACTAATACTAATACTAATACTAATACTAATACTAATACTAATACTAATATAACTAATACTAATACTAATATTGATATTGATATTGACACTAAAGAAGATTTATTTAAATATGTTCAACAAATTATATAAGAATCTCTATTACAAATAACGAAATACATACATGAGTTACTTTAGTATTTTTTTATTACATTATCACCTTCATTAAACTCAACTTCTTCATCGAAACTAAACTTACAATTATTGAATGTATAATCAAAGATGGAAAACCAGAAGTAAAAGTTTTTAAAACCCATCCATATAATATATCTAAATCATATATTTGTATTCTACGCAACGCCACAATGCTTCTCCCTTGCGGACGTCGCCGCATATAGCACACACGATGTTACCCATGGATCTGAAAATTAAAAGGAAAGCAAAACAATGATTTGTTAGATTATTATACATACGCATACATAATAAACGTATAACGTAATAAACACTTGGCGATAAATAAAATGCTTCAAAGCGAGCATGCACATCGCACAATACTGATCGCATTATGAAATTACAAAACATAAATATGAAGAAAAAAAAGTTTTAAGGTGAGGACCTTGGTTTAGCATGATCATAACAAAACGTGTTGAGAAAGAATGAGATAAATGATCAGTTTGTGTTGATGGTCTTTATACTTCATTTTCACATACTAAATAAGTTAATAAAATAACTTTAAGCAAACAATATATTTTATTATTTTTTGTGTTACTCGGTTAGAACAAATCAAACAAATTCAAACAATTAGAATTAATAAGAATCCGAAATTATTGAGATGCATAATATAAATGCGATTGTTAGGGGTTACTAAAAAAATTATTCAAATCACATGTATTGATTTGATAATAACATTAAATAGTAATGAATTAATCAGAATCAGAAATAACATAACCAAGGAAACATAACCAAGGAAACATAACAAAAGTAACCAATTTTAATATAACATGGCTTTTAAAATATTACCACTTTTACGTGTTTATTAGGTATAAAATATTATGCTCATAATTTATTTAGCATAATACACACATTGATTTGATACAATAATAAATAGAAACCTAAATAATATCAATTTGTATTTAACAAAGACAAACATAACAAAAAATAAATAAACAAATAAAATCAGTGATCAATCATATCCTTAAAATTCATACTTTAAATAAGAATATCAAACAAATGAAATCAAGTCATTAATCTTATCCTTCAAATCAATACTTTTAATAAGAATATCAAACAAATCAAGTCAAATTATTATTTCATGCTAATGTAAGACATTATTTTTTTTCTTCTCTAAAGTATAAGTTGATATGCAAAATAATCATTACAAATACTTATGTTACAACATTATCGAAAATACAAAAAAAAAATCATAATGAAAAATGCTAGGAAAATTAAATAAATAAAGTAATTTATATAATAAAAAATTATTAAAATAATTAATTCGTAATAAATGTAATAAAAAATAAAAATCTAGTTAATAATGCGTTTTATTACTTCATTAAATATTTAATGGAATAATATTGAAATATGTTACTTATATATACCATTTATTAAATTATTTATGACAATTTAAATATATTTCATTCCATTAATTGACATATTACTATTCAATTAATATATTATAATTTCCTAAGATTGAGTATATAAAAAGGACAACTCGATACAATATTTTATTCCATTAATTGACATATTACCATTCCATTAATATAATAATGCATTAATAAACTAAATTAATGTACAATTATAAAACAATATAATTACTATATAATGAATTAGTGATAATATATTAGCACTCAACATTTCAATGTAGTTAAGTGAAACAAATCAAGAAAAAAAGACGAAAACAATAAGTTTCCAAAAACAAAAACGACAGATGATCCAACTTTACACGAATTAAAAAATGAAATATATAAAATTTTAAATAGCGAAATTGCATATATAACCATATACTAAATGAGCTTGATGAAACAATATTAAAAATAATTACAGACATATATAAAGAATAGAAAATTGATAATTGCATATAATGTTTTACATTTATCACTTCGATGACGGTCTTTTAAGGATTGAAAAAAATGAGTATTTTTTCTCGCACAATTCATATGAGATTCACGAAATTCTTTCTATTCCTTTGACGCAACCAATGTCGTCACACATAGCCCATATGTCGATATTATCCATAATATCTACAAAAATAACATAAACAAACAACAAATAACATGTTAGACTAAATACATGTATATGTGTAAATAACCATTAGACACATACATTATATCAAAATAATGAAATAAAGAACATGTAAAACTATGAATATATTAACAACAACAAAATACAATATTTCCTCTTTGCAGCCATTTCGGGCTGACCTATTTTTTTTTATTTTTATGCGAGTGTAAAATTCGGGTGGAGAGTATGAGTGAGTGAAATGGATTGGAATGAGGGGTATTTATACTTGAATTTTATATAATAAAAAAATAAATAGTAAGTTCTTATGGAAATACACATTTAATGTTATAATCTTACCAATTATTTGATTAGATATTTTCCATGAATTAACCATATGAATCAAAACCAATCAACTTAAAAAGGTAAGAAATCAAATTATATGACATAAAATTGGGGAATGATTGATAATTTATAGTAAAAAAATATTTGAAATTCAAAATTTGGAATACAAAAATTTTAATTTCAATTTTAAATGTTGTTTAGTTATTAATATTTATAAAATTAAATTAATACATATACATTAAGTTGGCAAAACATTTAAACAAAAAAAATCCATGTATAGTGATTAATAATTATTAATGATTTGTAAAAATAATAATTATTAGTATTATTATTATTATTTTCGAATATTATTATTAAAAAAACTAAATTCCAAAATATATATCATAAAAAATGAGTGTTCTATTTAAAAAAAAAAAAAGACATTCGAAAAATATATTTCGGAGAATTAAATTAAAAACGTGAGATAAAAACAATTAATCAACCGTGTATAGATAATTAAATATAATAATAATTATTCCGCTATAAAAAAATAGTGTGTAAAATATGATATAAAAAATCGAATATTCGTTAAAAATTGAGTGTTCTGAATTTAAAAATAAAAAAGAATAGACGAAAAATATAGTTCAAAAAATTAAAACTATAAAAAATATAATATTTTTAGAAATGATAGGAAATTAAATTCCTGAAATATTATATGTTAATATGTGGTAATTATTAAATGATTGTGTAAATGTGAAATAGGAAAGAACTTAAAAACATACCTAAATAAAAATGACACATAATCAATTGAAAAATCCACCTCATCAATTGAACTCCAACTAAGCAATTTTGACAAATGACATCATCATTTGCCACATGTCAATCATTGAGGGCATAGATTCTCTTTTTATATTATATATAGATTATCTGCTTTAAGCTATTTTTCTTAAACACACCCATAATCCTACTTTTTCTATTTAAGTTTATTTTCCGAAAAATTTGCATACACCCCCAACTTTTAGAAATAAGCACTTAAAACTGACTTAACTCACAATCACTAACTTCTGATTTTAAATAATCATTTGCAAACACCATCGTAGTAACC